TTATTCACAGTATTAAAAATAAACTTTTCAATTGATGTTCTTTTATAGTAATCTAATTGCAATGGATTTTATTGATGTATCTGTGACTTGTAAATGACATGAAGACTTATATAGAAAGGTACTTTAAAAAGTAGTTGTTGGTTTATACTGAGTACAATATTGTATAACTGTAATAATTCAACTGTAAACCTAAAAATTTACAGCCAAATTTGAAAGAGATGCATCCTACCTCAGGAAAACGTTATTGAATATGTCAATTGTGTTGTAATGATATGCTTCTTCTAAGTATGTTGTTATTAAATAAATCATTTAAAAAAAAATTATGTGTCTGTGCATGTGAATGCAGGTACCCACAGAGGCCCGAAGAGGGTGTTAGATTCCCTGGAGCGGGGTTACAGGAGGTTGTGAACTACCCAAAGTGAGTGCTAGAAGCCAAACTCATATCCTCTCTATAAGAGTGGAATACTCTCTGACCTGCTGAGCCATCCCTCCAGCATGACTAAGTACATTACTAAGTACATTCTAAGTACATTAGTACTTTATCTAAAACATACAGTGAGGATATTTCTTTTCCTGTGTACGTATCCTCGTTGATTTTTAAATTTGTTCGGTGGTTCTCTCAAAAAACTGTTAAACTGAGAACATGAGTGAAGTGAGTGTCAGATGCTGTGCGGTGCAGGCAGTGTACCTCGGTGTGCGGTGCGCCTCACATGCACTGCTCTATTTTTCCTGGGTTAAATCTAAGGACTGAAGAGCCACACTCCCTATATTCCCTATATTCTTAATTGTTGTAAAGTATCTCAAGTCAGTACTACCATCTTCAGTAATGCAGACTAGCAAACAGAATTCAGCACTGTTTAGTAAACTGTTCAAAGTTAAAAGCATAAGTGGTTGGAATGAGTTCCAAAAAAAACCCTATGTGATTTATAAACTGTTAAGACATTTTTTTTTTTAAAACTGTAAGACTATGACTGTTTTAACTATTTCCAATAATAGTGTATGCTAAGTTAGGGACACTTTGAGTAAAT